GTACAGAGATTCCACAACTCATAAAAGTTTGTGTGGTGCAACTGGCCGGTTTCCAGCTTTTTTCATGAATTACAAAACTGAACTCTTACAAGGGTTAGAAACTTGGGACATACGAAAGATTTCTGAGCTTCCTCATATTTTTGAATTGGGATCCAAAATATATTACATACAGGGATCAAGGTTACATACCTTTTCAAGTTACATAAAGAGAGGATGTTATTATTACGGAGTTTAATTTTCTTTTTTTTTTACTCTACAGTAATTTCCAGTATGGTGGTGAGTCTGGGTCTTTTAAGCCGTAGCAAACATGATATGTAATTCCATCTAATCCGAGCTATGGTCTTTCTTGAGAGATCAATGGCTCGCTGTGATGGCGTCCTCCAAGTTGTTCTTCATCAGTATGTAATCTGCCACTTCGATCGCGATATCTGTTCCTGCACCGTAAGTGTTACGGTAACTAGGTGGCACGGTAACTAAGGTCGGCGGTCGGCGGCATTGTCCGTCCAATTAGGATACAAAAAAGCGGGATTCGGAAAGCCATTTTCCGAATGAGTTAGGGCGAGGTGGTGGGGTCAATTTGGAATGGGGTATTCCGAATGGAAAAGGGAAATTGGGGGTGGGTCAATTTGGAATGCTATTTTCCAAATGAAAAAAAAAAAAAATTGGGAATGCGGGGTCAATTGGGAATTGTAATTTCCTAATGAAGAAAAACAAAATTAAAAATGCAACATTGAAAACAAAATTCAACACAAAATTAAAAATGATACATCCCTTTAATATTTTTTATAAGAGTTGCGTTTAAAAAATATTACAAAAACAAATAAATTGTATGGGTTACAATATTACAAATTTAAATTGTACATATTAAAATTAGGGGTGGGAACTAGGGCTGGGCACGGGCCGGGTCGGGGCGGGTAATTCAAAATAAAATGGAACCGCCAGTTCCATTGTACGGTTCGGTCCGGTCCGGGTATTACAATTTTCAAAATAGGAACCGGAAATTACCCGGCCCGTTTGAAACGGGTCGGTCCGGTCCGCATTTTACGGTATCTATTCTCATGTCTTGAAATTAGTAAAAATTCACGAAGTTCCAAAATCAATAATCAATAATATAAGACATTAGCAAGTTTCAAAATAACAACATAGTGGTGCACATATAACACAAGCGAAAAGTCCAATACTCCATAATTTCTTGTATATAAGTTTCAAACAATTAAAGAAATTCCAAAAATATGCAGCATAGCCAAAATACATACTACGTATTTTCTAACATTTGGATTTAAACATGTTGTCTAACATCACATATTAAAGTGATTGCTTTTTTATATATTAAATTTTCAATATTAGCCAAAGTTGACACATACATGGTGGGTGGAAAACACAATTTATATTTTTAATAACAATATAATAAAAAAAATATAACAAAATCATCTTTAACAAATAATTAAATTCCATAGAAAGGAATGATTCAATAACAATAAAAAGTAATAACATATTTATGAAACATTTAATCAATAATTTGAAAACAAAAGGATGTTACTGCAACTCAATTTAAAATCCTACTTCTAGCAAAGGAAAGAAAACTATTTCAAAACCGATTATCACATAACTATTAATAAATTAATATACAATATATATAACGGGCCGGGCCGGGTACCCGTTATTTTTTAATTTTGGAACCGGTCCGGTTCCTTAAAAAAAATTACCCGACCCTACCCGGACCGTTTTATGGCAACAAAAAATGGAACCGACCCGTTTTGGACCCGAACCGCCATTACCCGGACCGGACCGCGGTTCCCAGACCCGTTTGCCCACCCCTAGTGGGAACGGTCTAGTCTGGGTCGGGGTTTTGTTAAACCCGGAAATTACCCGGAAGATCTCGGGTTATGAAAATTAGGGATCGGAACAAAGACTATTATATTTGGTCCGAGTCGGATTCTTTGTAGCCCGGGTTCGGTCCGGGTTCGGTTTGGATCAGTTAAAGCCCGAACTTGAAATATCTCATTGTTCTTTTATACTTTAACATCTATTTTCAAACAAAATTAATCAAAAATACAAATCGCAAATAACAACACAAATATAAGTCTCCAAAATCACCAACAATTCAAATCCAAAGAAGATAATTATCTTAATATTTTATTTAAGATGCATGTAAATAAATAATATAGGTTTCTTAAAAATATTACGAAATAAAATTTATAGATAAATGTGACTAGAGTTGCTGTAAATATATTTAATGGTCATTACGCTAAACAAATTGAACATATTTTTAGTCATTAAAAGTTGCTAAATCATTTTTTTATGCATCGTGACTATTATCATATATTAGGAAATATTTATAAATTTATATTCATATATTATACGGAGTATTAATTTTATATTATAGCTAGTTGTTTCGGATTTTTATTGGTCCGGACGGGGTTATAGATTTTAAGGTCCGTCAATGAGCCCGGAATTTTGGGTTCGTTCCGGTTTTTTTTTTAATTTGGGTCGGTACGGTTAAAAAGAAAAAATCCGCCCCAGGATCATAATTCGGGTCAATCTAGGGTCGGTTTCCGGGTTTCGGTTCGGTTTTTCCCACCCCTAATTAAAATAGTTACTCATACATATCAAATTTAATTTCTATAGGTAAAATAAAAATTAAAAAAGTTAGATTTGGAAGTGCATCATCCGAATGGTGCATCAAAAAATTAAAAAACCTTTATTTGGAACACCATGTTCCGAATACTTAAAAAATACATAAAATAAATTAATAAATTTTAAATTTTGCTTTCCGAATGCCTACTAAACCTACTCTCTCTCGTAACCCTAAATCTATTCGGAACATCATCATCCGAATTTCGTTTTCTTAGAAACCCTACAATTTTCCCGTGTTTTTGCACTACATGCTGACTTTTCACGTGTTTTGGGAAAACACCCTTGTCCGTCTAGAGCAATGGCCGTGAATCGGTGAATGCGGGAGTCGGTGGGGCTGGTTGTGGCGACAAGGCCACGGTGTCATTAATTAGGTCATTGGTCACTAATTTATAACTGTGGTGAATATAACTGTAACTATCAGTAGTCACTCTGACCGGGGTGTCACTACGGGATGGAGTCGTTGTGATCATGTGACATTAATCAATGTAGCATACCTTCAGTGTTTTCGTCTCATTTTTTAAAATTTAAAAAATATACTCCCTCCGTCCCTTTTTTATTTAGCCAAACACTATTTTCAAATCAAAGTTGTTCAACTTTGACCGATTATATATTTATGCACGGTAATATTGATAATATGTAAATTATAGGGAAAGTTCCTGAAATGGGACTAAAAAAGTTTGAAAATTCCAAAATAGGACTGTCATGTTTTTATTTCCAAAATAGGACTAATTACTATACTGCCAAATTTGGAAAATACTGTCATGTTTGAAGTCTGGTACTGCCAAAACATGACAGTAATTAGTCCTATTTTGGGAATAAAAACATGGAAGTCCTATTTTGGAATTTTCAAACTTTTTTAGTCCCATTTTGGGTAATATCTCTAAATTATATGAAAATGTTCTTCATTAAAAATACTATCATAAAAGTATAAATTTATTAACTTTTACATAAATATGTTAGTTAAACTAATGTGTCAAAGTTTATCATTTTTGACCGGAAATGTCAAAGTTGGCTAAATAAAAAGGGACGAAGATAGTATCTCTTTTTTATCCATTTGTTTGTTTTTAGTACTCTTTATCTATTCGATCTTAGCACTTGTTGATCAAGTCAATTATAGGCTTATAGCTATTTGTTTTTTTTTTTTAAATAAGCTATTTGTATATTGTTTTGCATGTTATTATTACATCACTATTAGATTTTTTGTCATTTGCTACTCCTTTTTTGTTGCAATTAAGAAATAATCCACAGCAAAATGTGAATATTTTGAGCCATTTGAATAGTGACGGTCTTTTTGAAACTGCATCAATTGTACCAAAAAGTAGACCATTTGATGTGGTCATGTAGCAACAGCAACAATTACGATTTACTATTTTAAAAGAAATTCTTTTTGCCGCAGGCCACAGCAATTGTGTTAAAAAACAAACTTTTTGCTGCGGGCCTAAGACAACCACAACTATTACATCTAGCTACAAAGGTATTAAACAAAATATAATTTCTTGCGGTATGAAACAACCACATAAATTTTGATTTTATTTAATATATTCAACTATTAATTATTTGATAATATCTAGATCTCTTCATATCTTACAAACTCTGGTATATGGAGGTCTTCACTGGTGAAAGAGAAAAAACGGGAATCTTTCACTAAATTTAAATCTACATGAAATTCTACCTACAAAAAATATGCAGCTCTTCATTGAGAAATGCATAAATTGTTAATATTGTTTTCAATATATTATGGATTATATGTATGTTGATACCCCCACCATATGCATTCATCCATCCAATCTCTAAGTTCGATCTTTATTTTCAAATATTCTCGAGATGAAATATTCTTTTACACCGCACTTTATCAATTATCAATTACGATTTTTACCAATTAATAGCACGTATTTATATGTTATACGTAGTACGAAGTATATACAAAGTGAAGAGAAATCAATATGATATTGTATTATTGTATAATTCATAAAGTTGGGAAATTTATTAGTGCAATTGACTCATTGTATAATAAGTCTTTCTAAAATTGAGAAAATTATACCCCGTCATGATTTAGTTTTGAGTTCCATTTTAGTTTTTGTTACCTTCTTTTATACTAATACGTAGTATATCACGAAGTATTATATTCTTAATTTGTGAATAAGATTTCAATTACTGTCCATTTACGTATTATAATGCATTTCTTTTCCAACCAAACAAACAAGTATAAGTGTAAATTAGGAAGGACTTGTAAATGGATAAAGCATAAAGGGAAACATATACTATCATATAAAAGAACTATACTTCCTTCATAAGTTAGTGGATATGCCCCAATGGCACTATATATATATATGGAAACAATATGTAGCTCTCTTATAATATATGTGGGAATATAAATTGTTCAGCTATAGTTTAATTTTTTCTTCAAAAAAAAAAAAAAGCTATAGTTTAATTTGCGTAGTTATTTTCTTAATAGAATTGTGCTCCTATATTTTATCTCAAAGCTTCAAGGTTAAAGTCACTTCTTCCTGGACTTCTTTTCGTATATACACATATTTTGTTCTAATTCGTGAGATTGCTTACAAAGCTAGCTCGCTAGCAAAATAATTAAGAATGGGCAATAATCATTTTCATTATTACTTGTGCTACCAATGCTTTGAGGGATTCCGTTCTACTAATGAAGTCACCTCTTGTCGTCTATGTTTATCTGAATTGTATTTGTATGAGATTCAAAGCAATATGTTCTACATTGGGGATATCAACAACCATCGAGCACCCCCGCTATTAGTTCATCAATGGCAATCAAGATATCATGAAAAATCAAATCCATCTCTAACGCTTGAGCGGCCTGGAATTGTGACCCGTTTAATATGGCGAGGAAGAGGTGAGAAACCCCAACCCCAACCTACGGGATGGAAAGGTGAGTTGGACCGGCTTCAAACTACCATCGAACCGTTAATACAATGCAGTCAATGGTATTGGTGCTACCATTGTCGTAGACTAGGTCATATAAGAGAAACAGGTGGAGCCGTTTTAACGACTCCTCCTCTTTCTCTTATTTTTCCTGAAATCATGCGATGTCAGGAATGCTCACTTGAAAGGGCGGTCGGATCCACGGTTGCGACCGTTGACAACCATGACCCCATTTGTTGGTGTTACCGATGTCACACACCTTATCGTGTTGGAGTAATAGTCCAATCCTCTTCCTCTTCCTCCTCTTCTGGACCGATATGTCCTCGGTGTGAGGACAGTCGATTCATGTCACCGGTGCGAATCTGGAGGAATGTCATCATCTACGGGGATAGCGAAAGAGACTCACCAATGGACCATAGGGGCACTGAAATTAGCTGGTCTGTAGATCCTTTAAGCCACGCACGGTGGACGCATGACCGAAAGGAGTATTTTGGGGGCGCTTATGCAGTGCTGGGTGTGCTTCAACTCAATCACTTCCTAGCAACAATATATGACAATGAACCTTACCCTCCTCGAAGCGGAAGCCTGTCCACCCCGGAACTAATGAGTGTGAGAACCGCCGGTGCTGTTCGCGATTCGGAATTACCCCGGCCAGCAACCGGCCAAGAATGTAGAACTGGTTTGGAAGACCTGGGGGTGAAGAAAATGAACGAAAGCTCCAATTTAAACCTAAACCTAAGAGGAGAAGGTTTATTCAAGTTGTGGTTGTTGGTGGCTGCTTTTATTGGTGGCCTTTTATTAGGCTCCTTAAAATTGATTTGGTGAAGACTGGTCCATCAATCTACATGCACGCCCGCTCATGGCCCTACTTTAATTTATGTATGTATATATATATTCAGGGAATTGATCTAACATGTTGTACGTCGTTCTAAGTCAGTTTATACTGCATGTAATCCTAATCAAATAGAATAAAAGATGTTGGAATACAATCAATCATGCTTTATAATTGCACGTGGAGAACTGTTAGTTGGTAAACAAATACAAACTACGATAGTATTGTTGGAACAAATGAAAAGCCTACTAGAGCATAGACCACTAGAGCATTGTCGAGTTTGACTTTACACCCCATTTTGAGTGAAAGATTTTATATCCTGTTTTAGGACTGATGGGTATACACATGCACTAATGATTTTGAAAATATGGTGCAAATTTTAATTATCGCCCAAAATATGGGATGCGCGAGAATTCTCCCTAAACAGAATACCACTATTAACTAGTATATTTAAAAAATTTACGATATATATAGAGTTTTTTCTAAAATATAATTAAAAAATGGTCTAAATTTGCAATTGTATAATTTTGTGTAAGAAGAATAGTAAACAAATCGTAAAAACAAGGGAGGTTTCCCTCACTTCTGTTTTACAAATCTACAATAGTATTATTCTATCTTTGGTGTAAACCCCTTGAATCCCCAATATATGTTTTTTTACTTAATACATTAGTGCATTATTAGTTAATAGTTACTATAACTCTTTACTTTTCATTATCAAATTTAGATTTTTAGTTGTTGACTAACTTATTAAATGTTGTATTGTTGAATCATAAAGTAGTGCAATTGTGAATTTATTCATATTGTTGTTTGATCCTGAATACGTGTTCTTAAATTTGTTGGAGTATTAAATATGAGGTATCATTTTCTCAAATAATGAAATTGTGGTTGTGTTTTAGCTTTTCTAGTTAAAAATGGTTGTGAAATCGGATTGTGACGATTTTGTGATATATTGAAATTTCTTCCGCAAAAAATAAAATTTCATTTATTCTATAAAATTTAATTAAGTTTAAAGTATAATAGAATTGGACGAATTTGGATTGGATATAGTCAAAAAGAGAAGAAGAGTAGACAAAAAATTACAATATTTTTTTAAAAAGGTGTAAACTGGGACATTCAGGAGCCAAAGCGGGTCTGGCTCACCTACCGGCCGCTGCATGTTCCTAAGAAGTAAGAACTAGTTGGCATTCAACTATTGGTTGTGAACTTTTTTCATACGCAGTGTTTGGCCATGTACTTATGTAGACATGTAGCAAGGTAGTTATGACATAGAAAAGAGGCTAAAGAGTCAAATAGTTACATGAACTAACTTAAAGTGTTCAATTAGCCCCTTATATAGGAGTTTTTGCCCGACCGTCGCCAATTGGGGCGGTTCCCGCCTTTAGCCTAGAAAAGACTGAAAAATAAACATAAATATATCCTCATAGTAGGAATTCGATCAATACCCTCTTAATCCCAACATGATGGTCCCGTATTTCCTTTTTGGGATGTCCCAAAATGATGGTCATGTTTCCCTTTTTGGAAAGAAAGATGTAATCCTCATCATTTTACCTTTTTCTACCCAAATTTCAACCACAATTTTTACCTTTTCAACCACTTTATTAGAATTTGTGCCCAAAAGAAATGAGATCATCAAATTGGGACGGGGGAGTATATTGGTAAATACCATCAAGCTACACGCATTTTACATTTTACATTTCATTTGTACAGAGATTCCACAGCTTACAAAAATGAATACTCTTACAAGGGTTATACGAGTGATTTATGAGCTTCCTCATAATTTTTGAACTGGGATCCAAAATATAATGCATGAAAACATACATCTATACAGCTTTTGAGTACCAAACGGGATCAAGGGTACGTGCTTATAAAGTTACATAAAGGGAGGAATGGAGGATGTCATTATTATTAACTTGCTTTTTTACTCTACAGTAATTTCCAGTATGGTGGTAAGTCTGGGTCTTTTATATCTCTTGAGAAGAAGAGAAGAGCAGACAACACTGACAGAGGACATGGCCATGCATGCACCGGCCATCCAAGGCGGCATCTCAACTTTTACCAAAGGAAAGAAAACGCCAGCAGCAATCGGGATGGCAACCACATTGTAAGCCGTGGCAAACATGTAATTCCATCTAATCCGAGCTATGGTCTTTCTTGAGAGATCAATGGCTGTGATGACGTCCTCCAAGTTGCTCTTCATCAGAATATAATCTGCCGCTTCGATCGCGATATCTGTTCCTGCGCCGATTGCCATCCCAATGTCCGCTTCTGCTAATGCAGGAGAGTCATTGATTCCATCTCCCACCATCGCCACTACACTCCCTCCCTTTTGAAATGACTTCACCACATCCACCTTTCCAGCCGGCATCACTTCTGCTCTAACATCTTCAATCCCAACCTGCAGGTACCAAGAATTTAAAAAAAATATATATATATATATATATATATATCCCACCATCAGACTCGGCTTTTTCAAAAGTTTGATATGCATACCAATGGACACACACATCATTTGAGTTATCCATATTTATTCTTGCAATTATTTTTATTTTTACACTATCATTTGGCAAGAAGTTGTGTGATTGAGAATTAGAAATCAAATTGAAGTCAACCACATAATTATTTCTTTAAAAGCAAAAGAGAGAGTTGTGGGGATGGAAAAGAAGGAAAGTAGGAAAAAGCTTTAGGCCCTGTTTGGAACTCAGAAAATACAAGGCAAAGCAAAGCAGGTCAATATATTTTCAATTTTCGAAATTTATTTGTGCTATTTGTTCTAAGTCATTTTGCCTATTTATTTCAGTTATATAAAGACTAAGAAACCTAAATGTATGAACATATAACTAAAAATTAAAATGAATAATATGTAGTATTACTTTTTTCTTAGCATTCTCTTAAGGTAAAGTTAAACATAGCATTTTTCCATTTCCCCTGGTATTTCCATCATCCAACCATAACATTAGGGATGGAGGGAGTATAATGTCGTAAGGAACCATGTTTTACTTTTTCACCTAGAAGGAGATGGGGTACAGAACATAATACTCCGTACTTCATATTTCAGAGTTGGTAGAGTTGTGTAATTTTAAATATTAGATTCCATATCTCATACCTTCCTGCATAACTGAAGTTAGCCGTATATTTTCACAACAATGCTTTTGAATAACTACAATTTGGTGAAGATGTAATAGGATTGGAGGAGAAAAGAACAGGAAACAAATACAAAATCAAACTGAGGTAAGCTGATCTATTAAATTTCTTTTTGTGAAAAACATATTTAAGTGGTTTAAATGTTTTCTTTATGTAGTACGGACCTCCTTGGCAACAGCTCGAGCTGTTCTCCAGTTATCGCCGGTGACGAGCACAGGAGTGATGCCCATTTTCACTAGTCCCTCCACAACAACAGCAGCTTCTCTCTTTAAAGGGTCAGCTATCCCCATGACACCTATTACAACATCGTCGCAAGCCACCAGAACACCAGTCTTTGCACTTTCTTCCAACTCTACAACAAAATTTTCCACATCTGTTGGTATACTTATCCCATTTTCAGTCATTAGCTTCCTGTTGCCAACCTGTTTGATTCCATGACAATCCAAATAAGTAAACCTTTTACATTCCAATATACACACACAATCAAATGTATATAAGTAGGCATGACATGACTCACCAAGACTTGTTTTCCTCCAACGCAGCACAGTATACCTCTTCCAGGCAATGCAGAGAAATCTGAGGCGTCATGCAGCCATCCAGAGAATTTGGAGTCCGCACCATAACTTTGTGCCTCCTTCGTGGTATTTGATGAAGGTTCATCAAAGAAATGGAAATGGCGGGCATATTCTAATATGGCTTGACCCAATGGATGTTCACTGCTAGCCTGAATCATGGTGAACAATCATTTAAGGGGATGTCATACACTCATATTACTACATTATCGCTTTTACTCTAGCCCAAAAAAGCAAAAACAACACACAACACACACATATTTATATATGGCGCAGGTGCCAGTACCATTTTGGTATGAATATTCCCGTGGGCCCTAAAATTAACGACCAGGTACACCCTCCAGTGGGGTTCGAAGAAGTGACCTCAGAGAACTTTTGTTCCCGGGTTCAAACCGATTGAACTACCCTGGTGGGTTAAAAACAACATAGTGTAATGTAAGCATTTGCATTATTTCTTATATTGCTATTTTACATGACTACTTGGAATGCAATGGTTGCATAAGAAGACGAAAGAAGGGGAGATTATGTGGGATAAAAGGTACAAAAAGAGGGTAAGGCTATGTTTGGAACACCTAAAGTAGCAGGGAGCATTGTTAATGTTCAGTTTTTCCAAGGAAAATGCAAAGAAAAATCAAATTTAAATCACTTTGAAAAATTTACATAGTATTTATCATTATTGATCTTTATATAATAGAAATATATAATTACAATTATATACAGAACAGATATCTAAAAATGACTTATCAACTTTGAACCAATTTTTTATGTTTCCACAGATTATCTTTCCTTTCAAGTTCCCCTAGATTTTCCTCCCTATTTTTTCCCCTAGCATTTTCCAGGTTCTATAGTCCTACAGGTGCAGAGACGAATTTGATAGAGATTTTACCTCTGCAGAAGCTACTAGTGTAAGGAATTCTCCTCCATCCATTTCTGTGAAAACTTTTGCAGTTGTGACTGTCGCTCTGCCCTGAGTTAAAGTTCCCGTTTTATCAAATAGTACATGTGTAATCTTGTGTGCCCTCTCTAATGCATGTCCTCCTTTTATCAATACACCATTGTTCGCGCCAACTCCAGTTGCAACCATAACAGCCGTCGGGGTTGCCAAGCCAAGTGCACATGGACAAGCAATTACCACAACTGATATTGCAAACATGAGTGCAAAAACAAAACTATTTCCATTCTCAGGCAACCACCCTTCTGGATATGCTCCAACAATCCCAGCAAGGAACCTACCATAATTACAATTATAGTTTATCATTAAAAACATTTTGCATTGATAAGACAAATAACATGTGAAAGCACAGCATAAGAATCATTGCATACGGATCAATGTTGACATTGAAACATACCATCCTACGAATGTCATCAAGGAAAGAGTAACAACTGCTGGAACAAAAATGCTTGCAATCTGCAAGTCATTAAAATTCCTGAAATAAGGCC